ACTGGTCGAAATGTAGCATATTTTTCGAGCTCGAGTATTGGACTTCTATGCAACTGAAGCACAACATAGATGAGATGCATGTCGAGAAAAATGTGGGTGAGAGTGTTTTGGGTACTTCTATGATGAATGATAGGAGTAAAGACACATCAAATGCATGGGAGGTCTTGAGAAATATGAATATCCGACCTAATCAATAGTTCCAAAAAAAGGGTAGGAGTTCACTAGACCACATGCAAGATACTCATTCAAGAAACCTTATCACAAAATCTTTTGTCAATTTATAAGAGATGTTAAATTGTCAGATGGGGTTGGATCTAACGTTAGTAAGAAAGTAATAGATAATGATACTAACATTATTATTGGGTTGAAATCTCATGAGTATCAAATTCTTATGCAATGTTTGATACCGATTGGAGTTACAGCGTTATTGAACATAGAAACTTCTACACCAATTGTAGATCTTTGTATGTTTTCAAACAAATTTGCTCCAGAACACTAAAGGTGGAGGATATGAGGAAAGCAAAAGAAGACATTATTAGAATCTTGTGCAAGTTAGAGTTGATTTATCCTCCAATGTTTTTTTGACATTATGATTCATTTAGTTTTGCATTTACCCGAGGAAGCAATTTTCGGAGCCCAGTATGTATGAGATGGATGTATCCATTCGAAAGGTATATGAAAAACTAGAAAACTATGTCAGAAATAAGGCGAGGCTGGAAGGTTGTATAGCCGAAGGTTATGTTGCTGACGAAGCTTTATCATTTTGTTCGATGCACCTTAGAGATGTGCAGACTCAATTCTATCCCCTGGAAGAAACGAGGACGTTGTCATTGAAAAAACAAAGTTTTGGATGTTTGAGTCTAAGTGTCGACCATCCAATGCAATGCAAATCAAACATCTTGACATAAGGGAAAAACATAATATAGAATGGTTATATTGAATAGCTTTTAAGAAGTCAGACAATACATCGTGTAAGTGTTCTTATCTTTATCTTTTATTATTTATTATTACTTTTTCCATTCATCAATTATATATATATATATATATATATATATATATATATATATATATATATATATATATATATATATTTGTCATCAATATAGAAAATTCAAATCTGAACATCCTTAAAGTGAAGAAAAGACTGGATTTTCCAATTGGTATCTTGAAAAGGTAATAATAATTAACGAACAAATATGTTTGATAAATATAACAAATCAAAATACATAACACTTTAATATATGTTAATAGGTTATTCAGATGGAAAGATAAAACTCTCCAGAATTCCACAAAGAGTTGTCGGCTCTTTCAATGGGTTCACAAATGGATGTTTATACTTACACCGCGTGCATAGTCAACGGTGTTAGGTTTACGGTACTTAGTCGTGATGCACAATGCACAATCCAAAACTTCGAGGTTCTAGCAGTAGGTGAGAATGGACAGAAATATTATGGCCAGTTAGAAGAGATTATGGAGGTGCAATATACATATGGTTATTCTACTGTAATATTTCAGTGCAAGTGGTTCGATATATGAGATATTCCTAATGATAATTGCATTAGTATCAACACAGAACAATAAGCACACCAAGATGACTAACTCATATATGCTTCACAAGCCAAACAAGTGTTCTACATCTGCGAGTCTGTTAGTCATCGAAGAAACCAAAACAACAACCATCATTTTTTTCGTCGATCATGTTAATTATCAAAGTATTTTGGGTCTACCATCCGATAATGCTCATGTTCAAAATGCTTATAGTGACTCTATCCAAAATGTTGACAATGTAGAGACTGGAAATGTTGACGTATTTCAAAACAACTCTTCGTTTGGAGCTAGACATTTTATCGACTTCTCATAACACTTTCAAAACAATGTTTATGTAGCTCAAACAAATGTTCACTATGATCATGAGGATGAGACTGAAGTACCTCCGACAATAGGTAGAATCAATAATATTTCTGAGGAAGAGACTGATTATGATGATGACGATTATGATTATGATAATGATGAAGAAGACATTAAAGTCTATGATGGAGATTCTGATTAATAAAATCAAATGTTTTTTTGTAATAGAAACTTTATTTGAAGTCTAACTTTTATTCATATTGTTTTTCTAACTTTTATTCATGTTGTTTGTCGAGATTGTATATCTTATAATTTTGCAAGGTAAGTAACCTTTATTCATATTGTGTTTCAATATTTTAAATCTTCTAGTTTTACATGCTACATATGATGTTTACTTGGGCGATACTCTTTACCATGATGGCCGATGTTATGCGCCTTAGACATGGAGGTGATGGAGCCGAGGATCCACCACCTCCAGTAAGTTGTAGTCACGGTTAACACGGACATGATGGTAAGTCTCATTATGATATATTTATTAGCTATTTTAATTAATTTATTATAAGTTATCATCACTAATATTTTTAATTGTATTATTTCAGTTGAGCTTCCAAAAAAAGGGGGGTTTATCAAAAAAAACATTGATCTAGGAAAGTTGATACGGGAAAACAAGGGAAAGCCCTTGGATTTAGATTTCAACAGAGAGATCACATATTCCCCTGTTGAGAAGCGTGCTAATTGGTTTACACATAAGCTTGATAGATATATGTGGATGAACATCCCTTTCAGCGTATCTGGTTGGGACAATGTCTCCCCTGCTTTAACAAATGCAACAGTCGTTCATCTAAAGGTAACTTGGATAATATTTTAAGTTTAGTTGTGATTGGTATTTAATTAACTAACTTTTTTGTATTTGTAGAATAAGTTTGATTTGGATAAGGTAAACATGGATCCTGAGTGTGCTCAATTGTTGCTGAGCATTGATGCGAGTCTTGCAAAAATTTATAGAGGCATGAAAAGTAAAAGCCCGTGCTTATTTTAAGGATATAAGGGGGCATGCAGATATCCCAATGGCATTAGACAACCCCCCCCCCCCACACACACACACACGGGTATGTCACGTGAAAATTAGGCGCAGCCAGTCGCACATTTTCAAACGCCCGGATTTTTAAAGTGTTTGACGTCAAACAAAGAAGTCCGTGCAAAATAACAAATTGTAAACTTAGGGGGTCGAGCTTGTATAACAATGTCTATTTCAAATAAGTAAGTTATGATATATTTAACTATTTATTAAAAGTATAATTAATCAAATTTTTAATGTTAAATAGGACATCACTCGAATCGAAGAATTGCATAAGGCTAATACCAATTTCCAAGGGGTATTTTGTAGTCATGCAGTCGAGCAACAATACCTAAGTAGTTAATTTGTATTTTCATATAAGGGTTTATAGCGTTAAAGGGTATTTAGTAATCTAATTTTTATGATGTTTATCATTTTTTGAAAATACAGTTGGCTTTAGTCTAAGAGATCAATTAACAAACCCAAGCTTCTTCTAAAGTAAACGATCTAACGTCGAGTGACATAAAAAAATGTTTTGAAAGAATATTAGGTGTTCAACGTGGACATATCAAAGGCATTGGGTGTAAACCTTCTACGGTTGTGTCTATGTACGCTCAGGAACAACCGATGACACAACAACCACCACAATCACAAATGATTGTTAGTTTAAGTTGAAAATTATAATGATATATTGTAAAAACTAAAAAAAAGTAGGATGTTATTATGATATGTTGGTAATTGTTTGTTTAATATATAGTAGATGCTATAATGGAAACTAGAATGCTATAATGATATGTTGGTTTTGGTTTGATATGTTGGTATTTTGTATTTTGGTAATTTTTGGAATGTACAATGCTATAATGGAAAAATGAAAAAAAAAAAAAAAAAAAAAAAGGTACAATGTTATAATGTATATGCAATATTGTGTATCATGTGGTTTGGTTATAGTTTGATATGTTGACATTTTGTATTTTGGTTGGAAAGTACAACGTATAATGAAAAAAATGAAAAAAAGAAGTACAGTGTTATAACGTATATGCAATATTGTGTATGATATATATTTAAGTGTAGTTGGAAAGTAGAATGGTATAATGATATGCTGATTATAGTTTGATATGTTGGTATTTCTTACTTTAGTAATTTTTGGATAATACAATGCTACTATGATATGTTGGTAATATATTTTGTTTTCTTTGTGGTTAAAAATATTGCAAACAATACTAAGGGACTTGTCCTGTTCTGTTGTACTGGAAGATTGGTTTTGCTTATTGTCGCTACAAAATGATAACGAAGGAAACGATGAGAGGGACGAGAACGAGTAGCTACTTTTTTAGGATTTTATAAAATGTTTTGTTTGAGTTAATATTTTGAATATATTGCATTTTGTTTGGATGAATATTTTGGACCGGTTGTGTATGGACTGATATTTTGGATTAATATTTCTACAGAATTAAGTTTTATATCAGTTTATATGCATGTTATATTGTTTCTTATAATTTTAATGTTAAATAAAACAAATGGAAAATATTTTAGTGGCGACAGTTAGGTATTAGCGGCGACAACATGTATTAGCAGCAACAGGTTGAACATTTGCGACGAGGCAACAACGGCAACCCTTTTGCGGCGACAAATCATCGCGAATAGCTTTAGCAAGACAATCACACTCTTTAACAACGACCCGTGTAGCCGCTAATGATCACGTTTCTTGTAACGTATGTCATTTGCAAATTATTATATATATTAGAATGCAAATTATTATATAATAAATAGAAAACAAAAAGAATATTATATGTATATTTTTGTTCTTTGACGGTAGCATTAGCTGCAACCAAAAAAAAAAAAAAAAAAAAAAAAAAAAAAAAAAAAGTTTTTTTCCCTTCATAGTTGCTATTAGATATGAGGGTAAAAAAATTATTTTGTTTTTCAAACTTATTCCATATAATACGTACAAAACCATAATATATATATATATATATATATATATATATATATATATATATATATATATATATATATATATATATATATATATATATAGGAGATTACCTATACTAAAACCCTCGTCCATCACCTTCGTCACCACCATTAGAATCCAATGAGGGTTTTAGGAATACTTCTCATCGCCGTGCTCCTCCTCTTCACTTCACCATCAACAGCGGAAATCCAATCACGGAATATCCGATGGAATGATAAATATTTGATATTATTTGAGGAGTTTGAGTTCACAAATACCGGTTTTGTCTCAGTCGCGATCTCCAACGTGTCAGTCATCTCCCCCTATGATTTTGATCCTTCACGTATCGGTTTCTTCCTTGTCCAATTAGACTTGAAAGAACTCGCCCTCCAATTATTTAACCGTAAATTCTGCGTAATGAATTCCAGACTCATCTCGCCTCTCTTTACGTTCCAAAATCTCTCATGTCCTTATTCTTCATTCAACATTACGTACCCTACGCCATATCCCAATATGTTATCCCTCTACTACGCCAATTGCAACGACAAAACCTACGTTACCATGGACGTCCGCACTGAGCTCTACAACACAGTTAACGACACTACCAAGATCTATCTGTCACTAACACAGCTCCCGTCGTTTTACTTCAAATTCTCTCTCGTTTATTTGTTTTTTCTAGGGTTTTGGATCTTCTTGTGCTTCAAGAACAAAAAATCTATTCGCGAGGTTGATTTACTAATGGGTGGGTTGCTTGTTGTGAGTGTGCTTCTATTGATTAGTAAGTATATGGAAAAACACTATGTGGAGGTTACAGGTACTCCTCATGGATGGGATACCATGGTTTACACATTACAGTTTTTCAGGATTGTGTTCTTGTTCGCTGTGATCACGTTGAACTCTCCCAGATGGTCTTGCTTGGATGCTGAAGAGGTATTCGTAATGTTGTTTTGCCTCGGAATTTTTCTACTTTTGACCTCGTTGTCTTATTTACCTTCCCTTATAATAGGGGATGACACCTCTTCTGAAGAATGGATCCCTTTCTGTCTTGAGATGATGATGCGCATCTTTGGTATTTTGTTCCCAATTTTCATGTCGATTAGGTCGTTGGACCATGCTTCTTATATGACTGACGATAAGGTTTTTAAGAGTTTGGCAGTGTTTTGGACGTGCTTTTTAATTGTGGCTACGGGATATTTGTTCTATTGGAGGATTCCTATTTTTGTAGTGAAGGTCTCTTTAGGTTACAAGTACTACCGGTGGGTGTCTATTGTGGGAGAAGAAATATGCAATCTTTTGTTTTATATGGTGATGTTTTACATGTTTAGTCGTTTGAGGAAGATGATAGAATACTTTGTTCTTGAAGCTAAAGATGAAGAAAACAAACATGATAGCTATCGGGGATGGTGATGATTTAGAGTTGAATTTCCAAATGCAAGGATCATTCTTGTTTTGGTCATTCATTGTTCAGATAGTTCGTTCTCAAAGTATAGGTACATATCGATGTGAGGTGTCCACTTAATTTTCAATTAGTTTTTTATTTGAGCGTTTAATTAAGTAGTTTTCTTGAACAATAGTGTTTTCTCATAAAGTTGGTTTCACATGATTATAATTGTTTGATTCTTATGAAAGATTAGTGTCACCTTCTTGATAAATAAGCAACAAACCATGTTGATTAGACATTTATTCATGTACATGCGCATCTTGTGTTTGGTTATCCTTGTTTTAATGCCTCAGTTTTTTTAAGCAATATGCTTGTGCTTATTTGATTTTGGTTAAAACTTTAAAGATCTTGGGATTGTATTACGAAAATTGGGATGGGACATAAGATGTTGCATAAAATAAAAATGTATTGTTGTAGAACATCTGAATAGTTGAGCGTAATTTAAAAAAGAGAAATTCAATATCATTCTAGACTTTCTAGTGTATAGTTCTTATAAGTTTTGGTACTGTTATAAAACAATGACTTATGAAATCTAATAATTCTCTCTCTCATTAATTCCTGCATTTGATTTTGATACTTATCTTAATGTAAAGAGTAGTAAAATAGACCGAAACATAAGGTAAAAAGATATTTCACTTCTATTTTAAAAAAAAATCAAATCAAACAATAATATATATATATATATATATATATATATATATATATATATATATATATATATATATATATATATATGGGGATAGGGAATATACATTACAGCCCCACCTAAGCTTAGGTATTAAACCTTTAAAATATGTCGTTTTAACATGCTAAATATATCCGGTTTGGTTTCACTTGGTAAACATATCATTCTCCATAACATTTCTTTCTTTCATTATCATTTTATCATCTCCGTTTTCTTTCCTCAATTATCGTTTATTACTTCATCCAAGTGAACATTACTAAACCCTAAACCTAAACCTAAACCCTAAATTCAAACCCTAAACACTAAAGCTAAACCCTAAACCCTAAATCTAAACACTAAACCCTAAACCCTAAACCCTAAACCCTTAACCCTAAACCTTAACCCTAAACCCTAAACTCTAAGCCCTAAGCATAAACCTAAACCCTAAACCCTAAACCCTAAACTCTAAACCCTATTGTGTCAATCTTGAAGTATTAATCGTGAATCCATTAACCATAATCTTTGTATAGTAAAACAATGCATTTTCAAGAGGTTTAGTACCTAAGCTTAGGTGGGGCTGTAATGTATATTCCCTTTTCCCTATATATATATATATATATATATATATATATATATATATATATATATATATATATATATATATATATATATATATATATATATATTTGTTATAAGCTTAAAAGTAAACCTAAAGATTCAGTTATACAAATTGAAACCTACAACATCACAATCATGAAGATATAAAACCAAAACATGCAAATCCAAACCAAAATCACATAAACCCAGTAAAAAAATTTAAACCTAATGAACCAAAACTCAAATCCAAAAGAAAAAAACCAAAACTGAAGAAAAATGGCAGGTGGTACCGTGGTAGTAGGGAGACGACACCCGATGGGAAAATCCACAAAAAGTGAGTTTTGTACGAGTAGAGAAAAGAGATTGATCATTGTAGGATAGGTTCCCTTTTATTTCTAAGTAATTAATTAAAACATTAATAAATAGAAAAAATAGAAATCCAATTTGAAGTAATCTTTGGTTTCAAATATGATCAAAACACAAAATCTTTTTTAATGATTTGCCATGGTTATTTTGAATTAATTTTTTCCACATGTTATTTTATGAGTTTTTCTATTTTATTAAATTTTATATAATATTTTAATGTAATAACTGCAATAAATATAGTAATAAACAAATAATAATTTCACTAATAAACTTACATTTTAATTTCTAAATTTCCAAAATAAAAGCTCATTAGTTTCTTTTTTCTTTATTTAAATTATTTTTTTTAATTTAAAAGATAAAAAAACATTTACATTATAATAAATCATTATTTTTCTTATTTTCTTATAAATTCAAAATTTTTAAATATTTTAACATTTATATTTAACATTTTTCTTTTAAATTACTCATGTAATACATGGGTCTCACAACTAATTGATATTAAACTAAGGACAAGAGTTTTTCGCATGGAAAATATTGAAAGGTTTATCAAAGGAAGTCTAGAAGCATCTAGCATTTATCATTATTATTAAGTCTTTATTTTAAACTAGAAAGGTTATCCTCGCTACGCGGGGGCTAGAAGCTTTCAATATTGTTTTTGAATCGATAAATATAACAGACGTAGAAAGTGCAATGATGAAAAGCCCGGAGTTTGCCCCGGACCATTTTTTTCATGTTTTTATGAAAAATGTAAAAGTTTTGACTGCAATGATCAAAAGTTTCAAAACGATTAAAGAATTAAAGGGGTACGAATTAGCAATTTTTTTAGAAAAATGATCAAAATTGTCAAAACCGTTAAAGTTTTATGGCCAAACTTTAAATATTAAAAGGTTCCTAAAAAGTGTAAAAATATTGATTGCAAGGACCAAAAATGTCAAAATAGGTTAAGAATGAGGAACAAAGTGCAGGGACCATTTCAGCCAAAAAAATATCAAGTTTACTATTCCTAAGTTTCATATCTTTAATATATACTAGACCCATGCAAAGCATGGGTTAGGAAGAGGTCTATTTTTTCCTTGATTGTGTCATGGATAAGATGAAACTGTTATCTTTAAAAAAAACTAAGATAGGAATTGCAGCCGACTTAATTGCAAAGCTTGTCCAAAAATCTTTATGTACTTTCGAAAACAAATAATAAAAAAAGTAAAGAAATTAACATGGTATTCAAATACAAATGAGATATCAAAATCAAACTTCACAAATCTAAATAAAAACTTTCATTATCACTGTTAGATTACCGAGTTACAAATGAAATTTGAGATAATTATATACAAATGAAACATTGATCAAATTATCAATCAATGTGAATGCTGGAGAGAAAAAAATTGAATAATCAATCACAAAATTAAATTTTAAAATTTTAAGGTAAGAAAAAGGAATGGTTAAAAACTCTTCAAACTAATGGCTGCAAGGTAATTATATCATAAACTATTAAATCAAACTTTGGAATTTTCTGTTAAGCTCTATTGATACTCTATTTTTCTTACTATTTTAGAAAAGATTTGATTCTTGTCAATTCTTTTCGCCTTGTTCTGAGAATCTTTTCTTTACAAAGGAACCAGGAGTTTCATCTCCTAAAACCTCCCGACCATTTGCATATGCTGAAGCTGTATGTTCACTTAATTGTTTCATTACCCTAGGAGCATCATAGTTTCTTTCACCTGGCCTCATAAACTAACCCATTCGTCTTTTTTGGTAAATAAAAAGGAATAAATGGAATTGAATTCCTTCCATCCTTCCAACTTTCCGTAGGAATGGTGAATGAAATATATCAAACATGGATTTTTAAACCATTGTGACATAATTGAATTCTGTTTATTAGGCTATGGAATGGAATCTCGGGTTCTAATTCCAACGAAATTGTTATTACCTCAATTGTTATACCTATATCAACTCTTGGACCAGGCACAAAAGAAAACCAAGGTGACTTCCATGCAGAAGGTGATTCCAAAATTTTCCTGAATGGAGTTTCCCCAAATCTATACACGAAAATACATATACACCATCAATATATGAATCAAATAACAATGCACTTTCAGTTACAATCTTATTAAAATCAAATAGATTTAAAAAAAAAAAAAGACGCAAGGAATGATACATACATTCCGGAATTTTCAAACACAACATCATCAACAGTAATTTGAAGAGGTGTCAACGATGAAGGGCAAAATTGTAATTGTACAGACGATACACCAAACCGACTTCCACTTCCACCATTGTTGTTTCTCTTCGAGTTCATTCTTCCAGGTGTTGTTATCGCAGCACGTTGGCCCAAATGGAAAACAAAGGAAACAACAAATCCATATACATGTATTGGAGTTAGAGCAGAAGATTATGGAAATCCAAATGAAAAGAAAAAATAAAACCCAAATCGTACCCAAATCCACTGCAACTTACTTTCAAAGTGGCATCTCATCAATTTTAACCTGCCATCAAGGCAACCAACTCCCAGTCATCCCAACTCTTAAAATTTGGCACCAAAATAAATTAATCATTTAATCTGCACGTCCAAGCACTAAGCTTATCTTTGAAATTGTTCAACAATTAGAGTCTAATGTTTAGTAAGCATCATCTTACACCATTTTTGGCAAGCCATGATAAATACATCGGAGAAAGGAAGTTTCATAGTTTAAAAAGTTTACAACTATCTCCCCAGCGGCAGCCTGGAAGAGCTTATTCAGGACAAAAGAAACCATGTAATAGGTCTGAAAATGGTTCACAAAATCGCATTAGATATCGCCGGAGCCCTAGCTTTCCTACACGACGACTGTAATCCTCGTATATTTCATCGAGATGTAAAACCCAACAATATCTTATTAGATAAGGATTTGAAAGCTTGCTTATCTGATTTTGGGCTGTAACGTCTTCTTGAGGGGTTCGAGACACATGTGCCCACCGGCATTGCCGGGACATTTGGATACGTGGCGCCGGAATATGCTCTAGCATGTAGGGTTTCTGATAAGGCGGATGTGCACAGCTATGGAGTGATGTTACTTGAATTGATTTCAGATAAACGGGTTTGGATCCCTATGGATTCCATTTGTATGCATGAAAACTAAATTCAAAAGTAATATTTTTTAGTTTGAAGATGAATTTGACATGGGGTGGCCGATGTCACCTGTTTTTGTCGTGGAAGCCGAGGAATTCACCGGATCAAGGGTTGAAATCAAGAGCCAATGATGGATCAGATGAAGGACAAATATCAGGAATTCCATATATTCTGATTCAAACCATCTAGTTGAAACAATTAATCAAAAAAATTATAAACTAAAATTGAAGAACAGGAGGTGAGAAGAAGGTGTCGGTGAAGGAGATCTCTAATCAATATCAATTACCTCTGATAAAAGGGAAATTAAGGCTCATGAATTAGGATGATGGCAACGACGATGGAGGCGGTGGCGATGGTGGCGTCCTCTTCTCCACCTTTGTAAGTAGGCGTCGGGGCGGGGCGATCGTCTGCCTCGTCTCCGCCGGTGGGACGTCGATCCCGGATGGTTGATTAATCAATTTCCAGAGACAATTCTTTCGTAGAAGGAGAGGAGACTGTCAGTGCAAGGGTGAGTTGAAGAAATGGGGTTGCTTATTCGAGAAACACGTAGAAAGAGAAGAACGGATCAAAGGAACACGTATCGCTGATGAATAGTTAAAAACCTTAAAAAAAATAATAATAATAAACCCAAAAGAAAAAAAAAAGTTGGTCCAATCAACAGGAAGTACTATTTAATTGGGAACCTTTCTTTAATATAATTGTATAATATATATTAATTAGGATAAAGTCTTTACATTTTTAGTATGAGTCAATCATTAGGAAATATTTTTATTTTTATTTATTATTTAAGGTTGTAAAAATCGTTCAGTAGGAGCTCGACAGTTGACTGATGATAAGTGCTTAATCAGACATGGCAGGGATTAATTGGAGACCCTAAATTATTAATGAAATTATTTTAAAAATAAATATTTCCTAAAAATTAAATATTGGAAAATTTAAAATTTTGAAATTTTGAAAATTTTAGTATAATATTTTAAATTTTGAAATCTTACAAATTTGAAATTTTAAAATTTTGGTGTAATATTTGAAAATTAAAAATTTTGATTTTTTTTATATTTCCCTCCTATGACCGCCAAAATCGAGTTTGACCGATTTTGACCGATTTACGTCAAGCACCCTAATTGTAATCGGTTCAAGGTCGTCAAACGATTAATCGACCACCAAGGTCGATTTCTGCAACACTGTTATTATTATTAAAGGAGGGGTCTGTTATGGTGTGTTTAATCCTTATTTAAGGGCTAGTCGATTGGAATAAAAATCATACATGCTTTGAGTTTTTAAACTTAGTTTAGCATCTCAGTTTTAATCAGTTTTATTTAAGCTTGGTCTCCTAGAAGAGAGGCAAAGTTAGCTTAGATAATAGCAACTACAAACTTTAACACTTACACTGGTCCAATCACAAGATCTTGATCTCAGGTTATAACAGGTTTGGTATCAGAGTCCCTCGTGATGTCCACTTGAACAGAAGATTTTGATGAAGAAACTAGAGGCGTTCATAATCCAACAAACGCAAAACACTAATGAATTAAATGTTGTTGTTGAAACCTTGCAGACCGAGAAAACATCGTTGATGGAAGGGTTGTTGACACAAAGACAAAAAAAATGTGACAAACATGTTAGGTCAACGGGGAATAGGGAGGAAAGCGTAAAAGAGGAAGTTAACATGGCACGATTTAAAAGACCCCCATAAATAGGTTCGGGGAAGAGGAAGAGGGATAGGTCTTGGTGGCAACACAAACGACAAGGGATAGACAACATCAATGATAGGTGGTCGAGCAATGGGTTTTTTGAGGAACCATCTTTCGATGTAGGAAGAGGAACAATGAAGAGTTACAACTTCTAGCGAATTAAGGAACCACAATCGTTCAAACATAATTGGTACTCACCCAAATTTAAAGGATTCAATCATCGGGAACTGGAGTTGTCCAAGATGTGGGATGACTCCAAGGATTTAGGATACCGAGACAGTCAGGTACTGAGGTTTACTAAGATGGAATTTCCGACTTATAACGGGAAAGGTGACCTGATCGAATGGATCCAAAAGTGTGAAGATTTATTTGAAGGACAACAAACCCCACCATATGCATGGGTGCAACAAGCCACCTTCTCTCTACAAGGGCAGGCCAGTTCGTGGTATCATAATGTCAGAAGAATGAAGACTCACCTAAGATGGGGAGAATTCTCAGAAGAATTTAAAATTAGGTTCGGGCAACCAATGAGCATTAACCCACTTAGAGAGTTAACATGTTTGCGCCAAGAAAGAACTATAGAAGTCTATTGTGCAAATTTTAAGTCTCTTTTAGGCCAAACAGAAGGAGTAACACACGAATAGAGCATTTGGCAATTTTTGTGTGGGTCTGCGTTGCGTTGTATGATATGAGATAGAGTTTGCGAGACCCATTACTCTTTTAGGCCAAATAGCAGGAGTAACACATGTGTTGGTTTTTTCCGATGATACTCTAATCTATAGTCGATCTATAAGATAACATTTGATTCATTTGAAATCGGGTTTTACCCTCCTTCGGACCCATCACTTATTCTTTTTAAAAATCAAAATGTTCCATTGGTCGTAAGGAAGTGGATTACTTAGGTCACATGATTAATAAAGGAGTGACAGTTGAGCAAAATAAGATTAGGATTGGCCAAAACCACACAATGTTTGCACTCTACACAGGTTTCTGGGGTTGACCGGCTGCTACAGGAAGTTCATAAAGGATTACAAGATTATCAAAGGTGTACTCATCAGTATGCTTCACAAGCACAGTTTCGAATGGAATCCTGATTCAAAGGCATTATCTGCAA